GAAACGGGTGTGAGACACATCTATATTTGCTCAGTCGGACATTTCAAAATGGTAGAAGATGTGTAGCCGTTTGAATGATTCTTTTTCACGCCATCACTGGACCGAGATAGATCCTCCGTCTAAATGTGTATTCCGACTCCTTGGCCATGTACCTATTTGTGGCGATTGAGTTTGTACTTATGCACAATTCTCGTTGTGTTGGTCCGATTTCGCTGGTCGACATCTTGATCTTCAGCCCTTTACTTAAGTCATCTTACTGTCTGCCTTCTATTCTGTTTTTGCCAGACTGGCGGCAGCCTATGCTTGTAGTCACCCCCTATGGTGTTCAGCTAGAGTTAGTCGATAACTTGAAGTGCTTCGGAAGCCTGATTATCGTTGGAGTTGGTGTTGGGGAACAGATCGCTTGACGAATAGCGAAAGCTAGAACACCTTTTGCCAACCTGCAATATAGGTGGCACCGCCGTGATATCCAGCTCGCCTTTAAGGGATAGGTGTACAATGTCGCGTTTTGCTTTACGGGTGCGAGACCTGATCACTCGGGGTTAAGGATGCTTGGCGACTTTCTGTATGTGATCAACTGTGGCTGTCTGTCGCGGCCAGTGGCGTAGTTGCATTCGATCTCTTTCTGTTACTTCATAATTTCCGTTTATTATTTTCTTTTCGGCTTTTTCTCACTTTATGCTTCTATTCTTTTTGCTCCCGACTCGACGATGCTGCGAGGTAGCAACCAAAACCACAACCAGAACACCAGTGCGAGGTGATGCTTGAATGAACTTAACTGAACTGAACTGTGCCTCCGAAATATTACTCGCGTTTGGTGGGACCATCGAGTAAGTGATGACGAAGTTCATCATGGTGTCTTGAGTACGGGTGGTCTCCCTCTGACCGAAGTAATCACTGTACACAGCGTCCGATGGCTCCGTTATGTGTTTCTTATGCCTGTCAATCGTCTGTCTTTCCGTGCCGTGTTCGCACGTGATGGGCAGGGCTGGGACAAGCAACATAGTCATGACTTCGCGCTAGGGTATGATTGAAGCTAGTGCCATCACTGGATTCAGTTAAACCTTCAGGTGCTCCTCGTTGGAGCCCAAGTGGTGAGGACTGCCGTTGGTCAGATTTGTTGAGGGACATGGCTCAGAATAGAAGTCAGTGACTCGAATGTTCTACGGCCTATCTTTTGAACTTCCCTACACAAAACTGTCGTGCAATCGAACAAGAACGATAATGGACATCCAACAGCGTACAACGGGAAGAGTAAATATATCATGTCCTGTTTTAATTTAATCCTCCTGATTTTGTCGTTGCTGTTATTATTGTTGACTTCAAGTCCTAGTGTATATATATATATATATATATATATATATATATATATATATATATATATATATATACTAGTTGTACTCGGCCACGCTTTACTATGGCTCAGTCTGGTTAAATGCGAAAAAAAAGAAAAGAGAAAGCACACGTTTCTAATATGTATAATTTCACAATGGTTGCGGGAAATCAATATTTTCTGTTGTTCCATTGTATGTGCAGGTATAAAGACTGGCTGTAGAGCACGCAACATATAATTGTCCGTGTGAGAAGCAATCCGTGTCTAAATCTAAACCACACAATTCTAAAGATTGGCTCTGAGCAGACGCTAATCGAATTGGCAACTGCGGTCTCAAATAGAAATGGCATACCCGTTAGAATGATATGAATGCGAGGAATGTGGACATCTTCACTTTTGAAATATCCTGTCAAGATTGTCGCTCCTACCGCGTTGCTCATTAATTTTTTTTTACTGCAAACCATGTGCCTTTGTCTATGACTGGCCCGCTTTGAATGATAGAATGAATAATATTGCTAAGTTCGTAGACGTCTTCATACTTGACCACAAGAATAGCTCTTTACTTCAACCAATCAGCAGTTGGTGTTAGGATTTCTCAGCTGATCAGTCGTTTCGCAGCTGGGCACGCATATTTGTATTCAATTGTATAACGTCTTTACGTGCCGCCACAAAGTGGAGTACTTCAGGCAAGCATTTATTTCGTCCGCAGGTGTCGATCGAGGAATTACAGGTAATGTTTGCCTGAAATCTCCTGCAAGCAATATTAATGCGTTCCCGAATGGTCCGATGTTTCCGCTCAAATCTTGCAATGATCGATCAAGAGCCTCGAGCGTTGAATTTCTGCAATACTTTTCCCATACCGGATGCTTTGTAAATGTTGCACGTGGGAGTTTCGATGAATTGCACGTTCAATGGCAATTTCAGAACGGAATGAGCAATTCTTCCAACTGGTAGTAGCGTCGCAGCTTTTCCAGACGACGCAATAGTTAAAGATACGTCTCCTCGGTATCGAATTGCTGTTAGAATCAATCGAATTAGGAACGTTTCACCAGTTCCTTCTGGCGCATCTAAGAAAAGTTTTCCAACCCCGTTATTGACCATTTGCATTATTTGATCGTAAATGTCATTTTGCTCAGGCGTTAGCTTAGGAATATTTCATCACGCATACGACTAAAGATCACTGGTGTTGTAATTTAGTTCAGGACGCAGTTCTACATCGTACGAAACAGCAGAAGATCGATTTGGTGATGACTTTCCCAACTGGTTGAAAACTTTGTTCGCGATTTCTAAGCAATGCTATTGGAAACATTGAAATCGAATCGTAAAGTTAGAACTTCAGAAATCGTACATCTGAAACATTAGTGTAGCGTGTGTTGCTGTGACGTCCAACAGATGGCGCTGTTTTCCAAGAAAAAAACATGTTTCTATCTGTCACAGATGTGACATCTATATAATAGTAGACGCACGGTCAATAGACTTTGCTAGTCGGAATTCGGTACTGTAATGGATAAGCGTTAATGAATAAACAAAAAGCGTACAACCAAATGTCTCCAAGTCTCTGATTAAAGTGCAGATCAAACCGTGTGCATGGAACAATTTGTTATATGATAGTGCACATGCCGAGGAAATAACCACATAACGGGATGAGCTGAGTTGATTGGTTGGTGTGGTCTCAGTTCAAGGTCTGCGGATTTGCGTGTCTGTGCTTGGGACTGTGTGTGTAATCATAGGGCAGATGCCAGGTCGCCCCGTATTTGGTTCATGTCGAGAGAATGAACATGTGGACACATGAGCGTGCGTGCGTGCGTGCGTGCGTAAGTCAGCGCCCAGGAGAATCTGTCAGTGGGACGAACCAGTGGGTGTTCGTCTATGTAGGGTCCTTTTTATCGTTCGCACGACGCTTCCAGAACATTTACATCTTCTTGGCCCGTGAATCTCCGCTATTTGACTAAATCGGCTTGATTATCACCTCGTTCTGTTTCCAGAGTACTTTCCACTACCAGGTGAACAGTATTGATGTGAGAAATAGACGGGCGTCAAAGCCGAGGTTATTGATAGCTATTGGTAATCATAATGCTCATAATACACATTAATCCGAACCATTTTCCGTTAAAGATGGCTTCATTGTGCTGTAGGGTAGCTTGGGTTGCTGTGCTTTTTATATTCCTTTCATCAAGTGAATCTAGCATGAACATCATAAACAGCCAGGGTTCTGCATGAACCTCGCCTGTTGATTAGACCGTCAACTGATAAATCAAGCACTTCGTATTTCTGTCCATCACTCTAGTTTTCTGTAGTCCATATTCGATTTACGAATAACCGACTAACATGTTTTTTTGTGGCAAAGTGCTCTGCTTTCTTTTTGATCGTTCGACACCCGGTCAACCATATTCCGCGTGCCCATCTACCTTACTTTCCCCAACGTCTGTCAATGAGCTTAGCCAGGCATCCTCTCTACGTAGTTCTGTCATTCCCATGAGTATTCAGTTCAGTGATAGACCTCTTCCTATGCTCTCGATTGAAGCACTTTGTTTTTCTCTCCGCGCTCAAGCTCGCATGTGTACAGGCAGGTTCACACTAATTTGATTTTCCGAAACCCTCAAAATGAAAAGCAACTGGGTTAGCATTCGACCTGCGTTCGGTTTACGCAATTGGGCATTCAGTTTTTCTCTTTTCTCCGCAATATCTCATTCCGCTTTTTGTCGTGGTTGATCTAATTAGGAATAAGGAGAAAAAAACACTGGTATTTTCACGTGTGTTTGTCGACGCATCCCTGTTGGGACATGTTCATCTGCATTTTTTTGCTTCCTCTCACTTAACCTCCGGGTTTCGGATTGACATTGTGACATCATCATAATTTTTTATGTTCACGATCGCGAGCAGCGCAATTGGCCTTTGCACACGAAAAACTAGGACCATGAAGTTTTCTCCCCATACAATAAACCATCATTTCCACTAGTTGTGCCAATGCCACAGCAATATAGCCCTTTTCTGCCCACTCAAGACCATTTTGCAAAATAAAAATCATACAATAATGTTGCATTGTGCTACGCAGCCTGCATTTCGTTCACAGCTTTTTGAGAGTCATTCAGAGGCTGTTGTGGTCGTGGTACCGACACAATTCCTGAATTAACGCTCTATCTCATTCGACAGAGTGCGGTTTTACGTGAAACTCTCCGAAATTTCGTCCTATAAACCTCTTATTCATTTAGATTAGTCTCTTGCCCAGTCCATAAATACTTGTTGTCAGTCCTGCATCATACCTTTCCACATGATTGCTATGTGTCCTTTTCCCCCTTGTTAAGGGATATCAACTAGCTATAGTGTGATGATCTACGATCATCTGTTTTCCGATATGTTGTGCTTCGGAAGATTCCCAAAAACGATGATGATTCATCGTTCATTGCGTGTAGCTGTTGCCGATTTATGTTGCTGACACATTTGGAGAAGAATTGCCGAAACTCGAGGTATTCCATGTCCGACAGTCAATCTAGTTGTGTCCTGGAAGGAACTACTCCATCTATGCCTCTACTGCACTTCGGTTTTCCATTTCACCCCTTTTTAATACACTTTGGTTCTTCCCAGTATTTTTCTTCCCCTTATACCTCTGTGTGTTACTCACCTTCATCCTAATGGTTTCTGTCTTCCCCTCTTCGGACACATCTAGGTGACGTCATGACCTTGTTGATGAAAAGGGATACGCTGACTGAACCGCAAACCCAGTTCTATATCGCGGAGGCTGCCCTCGCTATCGATTCCATACACAGAATGGGATTTATTCATCGAGATATCAAACCGGACAACCTGTTGCTTGATGCAAAAGTGAGTGTGGCATTGACTCATTTGGTCTGATTTTTTACACCTCCATATTTTTTGGTTTTGTGGAATTAGTAGATAAATACCGTTCAAATTCTGCGTTTCTCCATCATGATCGTTGCGATTGCCGTACTTCACTAAACAATTCAATTTTGATCTTGGTTCTGGATTAAAATAGGAGAAAAAGAGACAACTTTGGGAAATTTCGACAGGCCGGATAATGATTCTTCTCGGTATTATTCCCATTATTATTAATAAGGTTGTGTCCGCAACACTAACAGAAAATCGAAATGCGAAAGCGGTTTGAAGGCAAAAGTGTCAGCCCAGCCCATCTTCCCCCTTTACCCACGGTTACTTGCAAAATGGGCGCCCATTTCCCTGTCCCCTACCTGGGAACGTGCCCGGTAGCATACGGCTCTGCGCTTGCGAGCAATGCACTTACTAAATTTCCTAAGCATTGCCACGTTTTGAGAAATGGGCACGAGTGAGAGATCTTCACAATACTTTAAAATCTATGTTAGTCGGCACGTGAAAATATTTCCCAAATTAAATCGTTTACATAACTTAATCGATGAGCGACTGAGTGTCTTCAGCTAATACAATACTGAATTCTTTGTCAGTTTCCTATTGTCGATGTTCCCCGTGGCTTGTCAGTGAGTGAGCATGTCTGTTTGACCCTAGGAAAGTTAACGAGACCAATAATGCATTGTTGTCTGGTTGCACGTGTGCGCCTGATCCACCTGCCCACTCAATCATCACTTGGTTCGTTGGAACTATCAGTATGAAACCATTTTGGTGTCCACAGAGGGTTTGGTGAATACACTATTCAAACTAATGTAATCAACGCACTAATCTGTTCCATGCATCCATTCAAAAAATATCAACCGGACGAGGGTTGGGCTGAGCCTTGGATACGCAGGAAAAATCCCGTTTCCACTGGCGCAGGGATCTTTTTTACTATTAGAAAAGATCGAAAGCCTCATCTGTACCCCCTGCCGTGCCAATTTCGTTTAAAACTTTTAAGTGGATAATCAATCTCTCCTAAGCTGGTACATTTTGTAACCCAAATCGGAAATTGCCCACAACAGTACTCTCAGTGTAACAAAGAAGGTAAGACGGGCGAGGACACCCATATATGAGTGACCAAATAGGTCAAGTCCGTTTTCCAAACCGCGCTGCAGCAACATTGGTCCTCTGGCTGCTTGAACATTTTGGCTGCTTTCTGGCCAGTTGCCTGTGGCCACAAGCTTGCTTCTTTTGCGCATTGCTTCCGTCTGGCTGGTCCGATTGCTCCAGTTGACGGCTCGATCGGTAGCCCCTCACCTGGGCCTATGTTCCTGGTTGTCAAAGTTCCCGCTGCATTCTGTCTGCTAGTCCGAATGCCTCTTTTTCTCTTTTGCGGGATACTTCTGATATATTCCCCGTCTGTTCCTTGGTTTATGGGTCTCGACTAGTTGGCCCGATCGGTTTGATATTTGCATTGTTCTGTTGCCCCATCATTCGCCGCTACAACAGCCCAGTACATACAGGCTTCACCATCAGGCAGTCTGACGCAGGTGTAAACCTGGAATCGGGAAAACATCCTCAAGGAATACAATTTTCATGCCTGATCCACAACGAACACTGAGCCACAATTGCGTGTCTGTAGTTTCACATATTCGGAGTTCGTGTCACTCCTCGATGTGCGGATGATTACTACTCTGCCCGAGAATTTGGCTTAGGTAATGTGTGCGTGTATGTATGTATGTGTGTGTGCATGTATGTATGTACGTATGTATGTATGTATGTGTGCGTGTGTGTGTGTGTATGTGTGTATGTATGTATGTTTGGGTGTGTTGGGTTGATTGCTTGTGGTTTGTGTCTTCTGTCTGCTTTGATTAACTGGATCGTATTATGTATAAAAATATCTATTGTTGAATAATTCATTGTAATAGGTAGACGCTCAGCTCACTGGTAATGTACACTGAAGTTGTTTTATTGGGTTTGTTAGGAATCTTCGCTGGTTCAGGTCTGAAGAAACCCCATCCCCGGACTGGCACTGGGCCCACAGGATTTTGAGGCTATCGGAGCTGGTTTGTAACAGGTCACTTCACTTCACGTAAACCCTATGCAAGATAGTCCTCATCCGTCACCGACCCGGCAAATGAGTAACTCATCATTCACACGGTGAATGAATGCTTTGGTGTGCATCTCCTTAGTAGAGTGGATATACTAGTATTTTGACAGATCCTCGTTGATGAGTGGATCGCGTTGACACTGCACGAGCAATTAAAATCTCGAACTACTCAAAAACAAAAACGCCTTCATTAATCAATTTGATTAATGTTGATTAGAGTTGAACGAGTTCGTTCTTCAATGCTCTGTCGACCGGCCAGTAGTTGAACTGGTTCGCGATTGCTTGTCGTGCTTTGAGCATCACACCTTTTTGTCTTGAGTTTTTTCGCTATCAGTTTGGAAAAAAGGGAAATAGAACACTAGAACAAAAAGCCCTGTTCTATCTCTCTGTGTACTTATAGACCATGAATAAGCACAGACTGTATCGACTAAATCAGTTGTGATTAAGGCTGACTGAATCAGATCAGTATTCTTCTCTCTCTTATCATTCATGCAGTGAACTCATTTCATCAGTATAACTTACCCTGCACCCTTGATCATCCCATTGTTTTCCCGTTCTTCATCGATGTTTGCGCTTTTATTGGTTGAACAAAAATGAGTTATGATTAGAGGGGACAATCTCATCCTTTGTGATCAAGTTGTAGAAGGGAGTGTAAGAGAATTGGGTTACTGTTTCCTTTTTTGTCTGGGCAGGAAGATGCCACGGGGGAGTGTTCCGCATCTTGTTAGTTGCAGGGTAGAGGGACATTGGAAGAATATGTAATATGTAACAGTTGGAACCACGTGTGATGATGCTTGCCTCGAACCCGATAACCGATCAGTCAAACACTTCTCAAGTTTTGTGAAGTGCTGAATACGATTAGCTAATTATATGGGTACAGACTGATGTTTTAGTTCGTTCTTTTTCTTTCATCAGTCGTTTCGATTTGACGTTTAGGGTTATGGTCGGGGGGGGGGGGGGGATGGGGGAGACGTAGAGAGAAAAACGCAACATTCACTGTAAGTCGGAGCGAAAGCGCCTATGATTTACTGGTCACCCTAAATGTGGGCGCACATTTCATTCTCGCTCTGTTCTATTTGCCTTTCCTTCCAACAGGGTCATATCAAACTGAGTGATTTCGGACTGTGTACTGGATTGAAAAAAGCACATCGTACCGATTTTTATAAGGATTTGTCTCAAGCCAAAGCCAGTGACTTCTGTGAGTTAGTTTTTGATTTTTGTTTTCATCTAACCTCGTTCCGTATTCTTATTCCCATTTGTCTGTCCGTTCTCCTGGGTGGATAAGCGTTACCTAGCAGTGAAACTATGGCGTGTCCACAACTGTGATCATATTTCACTGTTCGGCCTCCAAATATTTGGTTGTACTTGATCCATTTGTGTCAGAATGAAGTTTGCAGTGCGTGCACGATTCAACGGATTAGACTAACACGGACAAGAAGAAAACAGTGTTGATTTAGCCGATGCCCACTTATTCAGAGTGCATTGTTCGAACTGGATTTGCCAATTTCGCTATGCACAGTTTGCTTGGCTTTGTGCACCGAAAGTGCAAATCATTGGGACTGATAAATGGTGATGATGTTAGTGTTAGTCGTGGTTGCTCGAGATAATCTCAGCAGGGAAAGACACTGATCTTCCGTTACTAGGTTGTCGTAAACACACACCTGTTCGCACGTCTTCTGTTTGCTTTGTTGGTTGTTGCTCCGAACTGACTGAAAGCATTGTAACTGTGGACAACGCATAGATAATCTACACCACTCGTTGATGAATTCGTATGAATTAAATCTCAGGTTAAATTATTACTATACTATTCGGTTTAGTCTGGCATAGCTAGTGGAGAATACATTCGCAATTTTCTTTGGTGAATCGGTCGTGCTTGGAATAATACCGCGTGTTTAACAATACTGATCGCATGACCATCGCATGTTACTCTGTTCTGGCGGGCATCCTACTGTAATCGTTCGTTCCGATGTGTCCTACTCCGACAACGAGGATAGGATGCATAATTGAACTGCAATGCACGGTGGCTAGCGTTCATATTTGTCGCTATTTCAACTGTGGCCCAGTTGTTTGCTTGATGAGATGAGCACAGGTGTTGAGGGTTTTTAACCGGGATTAAGAACAGTTCCATCTTCGACTATTGGGCAGTTCAAAGCAGCGGCTAATTCATGTATACGTTCGAACGTATTTTGGTCATCGTTTGGGCATATAATACCGGTGAAGTTTTGTTCAGCGACAAATTCGACCCATCATCCGGCTTGTGTCGTGCATATATCAGCTGTAGGTAATGTGATTTGAGATTCACAATGCACCTTTTTTGATCACTATTTTGAGAATAAACAACTATTTTGTTCCATGTAATCGGACTTTATCTGTTCCGTCCACACTATCTGTCTACAACCCCTTCAACCATCGGGGCTTATCTGTGTTCATGAAAGGATTCAGAATTATCAACACTTGACCCATCATTGAAAACCATGGAAGCACTGCATAACTGTTTCATCTTGCTTGTTACAAATCAGCAGCTGTACAGTACTTCGGGATGCATGATTGAGTTGGATGCACTCACTAGGTTATCCGGATTGATTGTTAACGATTTATTGCGCGTCACCACTACACGCTATTTCGCTCTACCATCACGGGCTTTTTCGAATGGTCACAATCAGTCCTTTGCACCGCGGTCGATTCCTGTAATGGACGCCCGCTCTGCAGGAGATCTAGGTGAAACAAGAGCATTACCCACCGGGGTTGACTAATTTATCGTCAGTCGCTTCACAGGCCGCATCCCGTTGTCCCGTGCCGTTCGACCCCATTCAGTTCTTGATCTGGCTGACCGATTATGTTGCACATGCGTGTTTACCAGCTTTGTCAGCTGTTCTGTGTTTTTACCACTTTGTGGTCAAGCGATCTGCGCACCTTTCTGCCTAGTTCATGCACCAAAGTCAATCTTTTTATCCCCCTTTAGCTTCTCTATGGAGAACCGACTTTATCTTTTTTTGCGTTCACCTCAGATGCCCTGGTCCTGTCGATGTGTGCTCAGTTTAGTCCTCCTGACCTCTTTTTGCTTTCTTTCACCGGCTATGACTTTGCTATCCCAACCAAGGAATGATAGTTATTCGGATTATATTCCTCTTGCTCGTCTCTTTCTTTCTTTCTTTCTTTCTTTCCTTCTCTCTCTCTCTCTCTCTCTCTCTCTCTCTCTCTCGTCTTATACACTACTGTATTCCTCCCTGTGTTTCGGATAATTAGACACTCTTGGTATGTAGTCATCCGTTTGCTTTATAGTGATGGACATATAAGTTTGAAATCCGATATCTGTCTTCAGGTATCAGTTGTGTATCCGTATGTATAATCATAATAATGCAATAATTAGATACATATTACATAGCATTCAACTAATTGGATGCAGAACAATTCAAATACATTCCCCCTTGAATAAAATATTATGTATAGCAAGTACCCATTGATCAACAACGTACCTCGGTGCACTCTAGACGAGAATGCAGTCTCACGGATTTTGAAATGAGGATGGCGAAAACACTACTATGGGGTCAATGATTACGAACGCATTATTCTGTATACCAGAGCAGCGTAGCAATGGCAAAAGATCAATTGAAGATGAAGGAGATGAGACGACTTTTCAAGTGGTCGGATATGGGATGAAACGTCATCGCGTATAAAAAAGGCGCGTTTGGCTTTTGCGAATCTCAGTCATCTGTAGTGCCAGCGTGACATCCGATTATCCATCAGGGGTCGAGTATATACAGCGGCATTTGGATCTGTCCCTTTATACAGCCCAGGCTCAAGATGTTGGGAATCAGAAATCAGTCACCAGAACAAGTTCTGAATTTAAATGAGTTTAGGTGGTGGCACGCCCACTAACAGACTTCTTCGGTGTACGCTTTCTTCCAAACATTTCTCGGAATGCTGCACGATTTACGTTATTAATAATGGGAAATACTTTCTGAGCAATATATAGTGGGCGAAAAGCCAGCACATTTACTAACGTGATATAAGTTCGAATATGAATTAATACCTCTCATCTTTCTGCGGTTTATATTCTCTCATAACTGTGGGTTGATGGGGTATACGAAATGACGAATTTATTGTATTTGTCATCCTATGGTCTTCGCCAAGGAGAAAGATACTCCGAAACATCTTCGAATTTACCAGTCACGAAGTGATTGGTGCAGTTTACACAAAACATTAGTATCAAAGTACAACGTTGCCTGTATGAGGCACATTAATTAAAAAACTGCGATATATATATATATATATATATATATATATATATATATATATATATATATATATATATATATATATATATATATATATATATATATATATATATATATATATATATATATATAAATATAAAGATAATGACATGCCAGGGATGGAACAGCTGTATTGTGCTTGCATAATGTTCTGCGGTGAGTTAAGCTTTGTTACTGCACAGTGAAGCAGTTAGTATTGAAATTAAATCTCGTGCTACTCATGTATAATGCCTTTTTTAAGATGTAAATTTTGCCGTCGGTTGTTATTTTCATCTTTTATAACTTTTTGATCCATCGTCCAAAGTTGGTTGAACGACCACATTTTGGACGACCGTGCGAGCTTTTTAATTTCTCCTAACTGTGGTCCTACTTTACAAACTTTTGTGGTTCAATGCGATCAGTAAACTCATTATAAATGCGTGCGAACCTCTGGTACTTGATCTCGTGATTCAGGATGGAGTTGAAACATCGAGGTCAGAAATGAGTGCTTTCTTCAGTATGTCAGCTCATCCTGCGTTTCCACTCGCGTCCCACCCAAGGTCGTTGCACGATTGCATTTACCTTGCTCTTCTACGCCACGAATTCTATATCAGTCCAGTATCTCTGCCCAAAGGAACGGTGTTATTTTCGTTACGGAATAGGACTCTAAAAAAAGATTTATCTAGTTCGATGGGTGGTTGTTCATACCCGTTCACAATGGAGATAACTGAATGAACCGTGTATTCATTGTTTTCTTTTTATTTGGTCGTCGTTACTCGATGTACGACAGAAAATTTGTCATGACTGCTGTCTACACGACCCAGACCATAGGACCGAGATATGGCTAGTGATGACGAACACCGGATCACTTTCTCGTGGCGCCCCCTCTTTTAAACTTCATTGCTGTTTGTGATCTGCCGATATCTCCTGGGGAATGCAGTCAACGGGTCCATGATTTCTCATAATCCGTCACGATCTTGCTAGACGAACTTTACCATTACGTAGTAAAATCACATTCCGACCAGATTGTTCGATGATTGACGCAATGTAAAATATTCAGTGGTCCAAATTATCGTGTTTTTCAGTAATCTAATCCGAGTTAACCCATCTGTGCTGACTCGAGCGGTTCACAGCTCTTTCACTATCCTGTGCATAACGTGAAAATCTTGTCTCCACGTAGACGTGATCCGGCTGATATGATGGTTATAACAATTCTCATATATCCGTGAACAAAATCAAGTTGTTATCACCTAGGTAAATAAATTCCGTACAAGCTTCCTATAGTCTGGTTTTTGTCATTGGGGGTGGGTGGTCTACGGTCAAAGAACACTGGTGACGTGGACGATGTGCATGAACGAGCTCATCGATTGATGTATTCCTTTTCAGCTGCACACATTAGTTTGCCAATATGCACATCTTGTTTTAGATCAAGTTCGTCCCTCCGAGACTACACAATGCCACTTTATGAGTATATAAAAATCCTAAGTGTTCTCGATGTGCAGCCCAGAAACGGTGTACAGAAGCGTTAATCATGGGATGATGCATCATTCAATTCACCATTGAAAATGAATCGAGACACTGCGCACAGTTGTTACCTGCGGAGTTTTAGGAAACATGAAGCCCCATGTGCAATTCGAATTCGTCTCACAAGACTTGGAGTCTCACACGGGAATCGTGGTGCGCTGCCCCGTCCCAGGTTCCCAACAGCCTGGTTTACGTCAGCAAGAACAACAACAAATGATATGGCGCTCATTCGGTACTGGCTTTGGACGATATCTACTTGTCAATATAATAGTAGTAAACTCCCTTAATCAATTTCTCCGTAGAAGTCCAATTGAAACGGATGCATTACAGATGGTAATTTATAATAAAGATGAAACGGTTGTACATAGATGTTGTGGTTCACTTTGTTGTTGTTACCTACCAAAATGAAATGAATGTT